TTCAGTGTGGCCGTCTCTAGCACTGCCCTAGGAACTGGTGGGTGTCATTTGAAATATTCTTTAGCATGTTAATAAAGTATTTTTCTACTTAAGGGCACATTTTTTTTTCTTTTCATTAAACTCAGGAAAAGCTACTGAATCTCTTAAGATAGCATGTGATTGAGGGCCTGCGGTTTCCTGATGGGATATCTTCATTAATAGAGTTACAGGCGTGCCGGCCTGGTCTCTGAGGCTAACTCCAGGCTGGCATCCAGGGGCAAGGTTACATTCTGGTGGTTTTTTCATGGGGTATATTTTATTTTACAATACTGATGAAGGCAGGCCTCATGAACGGGATGGGAGCGCCCAGCCCTCTGGCCCTCCTGCCTTCCACCACATGAGGAAGCAGTAACAAGACACGCTCGACAGACAGCAGAGGCTGGCGCCTTGAACTTCCAGTCTCCGCAACAGCGAAAAATAAATTTCTGTTGTTTATAAATTACCTAGTCGCAGGAATGGACTAAGCCACTCCATATACGTGGAGGGAGAAACTGACAGATGTGAGATCTTGCACAGAAGCCATTGATAATTCAGCTGAGACGGTGCTGGGAGCAAAGTGTCAGGGCGGCCAGCTCTGGAAGACGGAGCCGAGGCAGCTCCTCTCCGGCAGGACAGGCCACACGGCACATGGCTTTTTGAAATTGAACAAAACTCACTGGGAAGTCATTATCTGGTCTTAAGAGTCCTGTTTAAAACCAGGGCTGGGGCCGGGTGCGGTGGCTCAAGCCTGTAACCCCAGCACTTTGGGAGGCCTAGGCGGGCGGATCACGAGGTCAAGAGATTGAGACCATCCTGGTCAACATGGTGAAACCCCGTCTCTACTAAAAATACAAAAGATTAGCTGGGCATGGTGGCGCGTGCCTGTAATCCCAGCTACCTGGGAGGCTGAGGCGGGAGAATTGCCTGAACCCAGGAGGCAGAGGTTGCGGTGAGCCGAGATCGCGCCATTGCACTCCAGCCTGGGTAACAAGAGCGAAACTCCGTCTCAAAAAAAAAAAACCCAAGGCTGCTGGCGATGTTTGGATTTACCCCCCGTTATAAGTCTATTCAGGGTAAATTCTGGTGGTTTTTTCATGGGATATATTTTATTTATTTTATTTTAAAGCTTACTTTGAGGCAATATTAGCATTTTTAAAAAGTGTGTGTGTGTGTGTTGTATGTGTGTGTGTTCTATGTGTGTGTGTTCTATGTGTGTGTGTTGTGTGTGTTGTATGTGTGTGTTGTGTGTGTGTTGTATGTGTGTTGTATGTGTGTGTGTTGTATGCGTGTGTTGTATGTGTGTGTTCTGTGTGTGTGTGTTGTGTATGTGTGTTGTGTGTGTTGTATGTGTGTTGTATGTGTGTGTTGTATGTGTGTGTTGTATGTGTGTTGTGTGTGTTGTATGTGTGTTGTATGTGTGTGTGTTGTATGTGTGTTGTGTGTGTTGTATATGTGTGTTGTATGTGTGTGTGTTGTGTGTTGTATGTGTGTGTTGTATGTGTGTGTTGTATGTGTGTGTTGTGTGTGTGTGTTGTGTGTGTGTTGTGTGTGTGTTGTGTGTGTGTTGTGTGTGTTGTGTGTGTGTTGTGTGTGTGTGTTGTGTGTGTGTGTTGTGTGTGTGTTGTGTGTGTGTTGTGTGTGTGTGTTGTGTGTGTTGTATGTGTGTGTTGTATGTGTGTGTTGTATGTGTGTGTTGTGTGTGTGTTGTGTGTGTGGTGTGTGTGTGTGTGTTGTGTGTGTTGTGTGGTGTGTGTGTGTTGTGTGTGTGTGCTGTGTGTTGTATGTGTGTGTTGTATGTGTGTGTGTTGTGTGTGTGTGTGTTGTATGTGTGTGTGTGGTGTAAATTCCTCTGTCCTAACATGGAGGAGGACTGTGTTCTCACCCATTTATCTTGGTCCTCCTTGCCGGAGGTCTGCCTGTTTCAGTAGCATTTCCAGCTGCCCCTCTAAGATGTACTTAGCAATCCTAGATAAAACTCTGTCTTCTCGCTCATTCATTTACTTCAACTCATTAGTTCCTTTACTGTGTTTATCACAAGCTGCCTTTATTTTCTATTTTTGGCTTCTTGGTTAAAGGCTTAGTTGACTTGTTTTGGTGTTTTTAAATAATAAAAGCAACGCAGCTTTGAATCTGGTTGCGAGCCCAGCGCCGCCACATCCCTTGTGCTTTTCGATGGCTTTCCGTAACTGCACACAGGGTCACTTCCATCTTGACCCACATTATTTTGGAGGGTTTCTTTAACATCCAAATGCTTGGCTGTGTGTCATTTTAACTTTATTGTGATCTGATTTCAAAGCATTATGCTCAGTGAACAAAGTTTATGCCACTGCTGTTTATTCTGGAAATGTCTATGGCCTAGGATGCACGATGACTCTTTGGAAGTATTCTGTAGTTAGAAGACCCATTCTTTGTTGGTACAAATTCTATCCAGAACTCCTAAACCACTCCTTTTTAATGCCATTCAGATTCACAATCCTTTTTTTTTTTTTAAATTGAGACAAAGTCTTGCTCTGTTGCCCAGGCTGGAGTACAGTGGCGTGATCTTGGCTCACTGCAACCTCCGCCTCTTGGGTTCAAGTGACTCTCTTGCCTAAGCCTCCCAAGCAGCTGGGATTACAGGCACTCACCACCAATACCCAGCTAAGTTTTGTATTATTAGTAGAGACAGGGTTTCACCATGTTGGTCAGGCCAGTCTCAAACTCCTGACCTCAGGTGACCTGCCCGCCTTGGCCGCCCAGTTGCTGGGGTTGTAGGCGAGAGCCTCTGCGCCCTGCCCCCATCTTATTTTTAATCCAAGTAAATACACTTAAACTTTGCTCCTACGGTTGCTTCATTTAATGAGGCTCAGTTCTGGTTCAGGGCTTGTGCCTGAGCAGTGGGGGCCACAGGAGGTTTCTGTGTGGGTCATGACGTGCTGGAGCTGAGGCCACAGGAGCTCTCTGTGGGTCATGACGTGTTGGAGCTGGCCCTTCTAGGGCTTACTGGGCCACGTGGGCCTGAGGAGGGTCTGCTGGCCCCAGCAGCAGGGATGGGTGGCAGGTTCCTAAGGGAGGGGATGGCAGATCCCAAGGGAAAGCAGGGACCCTGCTCGCCTCACCCCAGCTGGGCCCCAGTGTCCTCTTACTGTAAGATGACCGGCAGAGGGCAAAGATGGGGTGGAGGGTGCCAAGCAGGCCCCAGGGGCGGGGGGACACATGATTTTCCACAGAAGGGCGCTCCGTTCACCCTGAAGACCCCATGAAAGCCTAGTTGGAAAGTGGCAGGTGGGAGGCAGAGTCCATGCTGTGAGTTCTGAGGCTTGGATGTCAGTGGCTGTAGGGGAAGGAGCAGGGCTCAGGGGAGAGGCCCCATTGGATGCCAACATGCAGAGCCAATGGGGCATCAGGAAATGCCCAGAGGCAGGGCTATGGAGCCATGTCCACATAGCATGAGGGATTAGCAATGCAGATGCCATGAGCCAAGTGTGTGAGGGTAACCACCTTCCTGAGGAGCAGCAAGCTCTGGCAGGGGAGGTGGCAAATCCTCCAGAAAAGCACACACCTCCCAGGCCCAGCACACAGGACAGGACCAACGTTCACTCCAGCAGGTGCTGCCACACAGGGGCCAGGAGGTCCAGGGTGCAGCCCCAATCCCAGCTGTACCCCACCCCACCTCACCACTCCCTGCTCCCAGATCCCTGCCCAGCAGGGAGGAGGAGGCTCACAGATGGGAAGGAACCAAACCACGCCTGGGTAGGCTCAAAAGCCAAGGAGACCTAGGAAGCAGGCAGCGCCTCACCTTCCCTGCTTGCCCTGGTTTTCTGGAATTAAACAAGGGGAAGCATGACCCATGGCCCCTCCTGGACCCTGAACTGCTTGGTTCTGCTGCTGAACACCAGGAGGGTCTCTGCCTTTCTTCTGGGAATGGGAAAACGATTCTGTTCCTGTGGAAATAACCTAAAGCCACACATCATTTCCCAAGGGACGGACCACAATACTGCAAGGAACGAGGCTTCTGAAGCCTCTTCTACCAACGCCCTGCCGTTGGGGTCTCACATTCTGGGCTGTGCTGGCTCAGGCGGCCTCCCATGGATGCAGCATTGTCTTCCTGAAACGTCACAACTGCCAACGCTAACTCCCTGTGCTCACCAGGACCCCCAGGGTTTGTAATTTCTGTGTTCTCTCCTCCTTTCCCATTGGGTTCAGTGCCCACAGACATTCTGGCACTCACAGCCTTCTCTCTACCCAACCCCTACGGCATCAAAGAACTAACGTCCTCTTCCTCTAAAGGAAGAAAATCTACCTCACAGGTCCTCTGCCAGCGCCTACTCCGGGTTCCCCACTCAAGCCACAAGAGCCCCACAAGCTCCCAGAGTCTGCACTCCACCCCACACCCCACACCCTGCACCCCATACCCCCCAGAGAAACATGTGGGATGGGTCAGGTGCTGGAGACAAGTCCACAGGGGGTCCCACAGGTGGAGCACAGAGCCCCGCAGGACGTGCCTCTGATGAGTGGGGTGCAAGGAGGGCGCTCCCACTAAGTCGCCAGGTTAGTGAGGTTAAACAGTGTGCCCTCAGTCACAGAGTTCCCATTGGCCTGGCCAGAGGGACCCCAGGCTATGTGATTTCTCACCCAGCCCCGTCCCCAACACATCATAGTCTGGGTGCTGTGAAGAGGCCTCCAGGGACCAGAGGTCACACACCGCACCCTGCAGGGGTCATGCTGCTAAGGGCACACCAGCCCAGCTTCCACGGGGAGCTTGCCACACAGCCACGTCTAATAACGCATAATGTGGGCCATGTTTCCACTGCCATGGCCACGTGACCACTGCCAGGCTCGTCTCCTCAGCTGGACGAGCTTTTAACCAGCAGGTCAGCAGTGAAAACACAAAGCAGCGCTTCTCAAAACTCTTCCACAAATGACCCGTGAACTACAATTTAACAAACCTCTCTCCTAGTAGAAAATCAAACTCGGGTTCTTTTGAAAAGGGATTTACTTACTTGGAAATCTCTTTCTTCCAGTATTTCCTTCCTCCATCTCACGAGAAATGCGGCACACACGTACAAGTGGAAATGAGAGAAGCCCTCGGGTTCAGACTGAAAGAGAAAAAGGAACCAGGAGAGAAGCTGTAATGCGTTGACCCATTAACATCGCCGTGAGGCTCTCTGCGGCAGTCGGGGTTTGTCCAGTCAGGTTCGGGGAAATCCAAAGCTCGTGCTGCCTTACTTTACTTAATGCCTTAAATTCGAAATTGTCATCTCATTAAAACAAACACCACTTTCTCTTTAGGTACCAGCAGCCTGACAAACAGCATGTGAACCGTAGATCGAGCTTCAGGCAGCCTCCGCAGCAGTCTTCATTCTCCTCTCTTGCACACACAATAGCCAAAAAGGGTAAGAGACTAATTCAGCGTGCGCTGGTGCTACGCCAGGCACAGAGTCTGCTCCTCACACCAGGCATGTGAGGAAGGCCCTCTCCACTCCACAGATGATGAAACAAGGCTGAGCCAGGCCTGGCCCAGTCAAGCCCGAGATCAGGCACTGGGCCCGGGGCCACAGACAGAGTCCAGGTCTCCTTGGGAAATGAACAGGGAAGTGAAGCTGATGGGAAGCCATAGACGCGGAAGGACATGGCTCACACTCCTCAAGTCACTGCCACGTCTCTCCTTACTGCCATCAAACGTGCCACTCCTATTCCCCCTTCTTTAGCTACCCCTACTCATCCTGGAAACCCAGGCCCACGGTCAGCCCCCAGAGGCTCTCCCACACCAAAACTCCAGCTATTGGGGTGCCACAGCCCATGCAACGTCTATAGGACTCCTGTCAATGCTTTATTAAGTAAACAAATAAAATGCACGGTGCCAAGATTGGACCAGAAAGAGCAGGGGGGTTTGTGTGTGAACAGGGGAATTTGTGAGTGAACGGGGGGGTCTGTGTGTGAACAGGGGGATTTGTGTGTGAACAGCGGGGTTTGTGTGTGAACAGGGGGATTTGTGTGTGAACAGGGGGATTTTTGTGTGAACGGGGGGTTTGTGTGTGAACGGGGGGTTTGTGTGTGAACAGCGGGGTTTGTGTGTGAACAGGGGGATTTGTGTGTGAACGGGGGGGTGTGTGTGAACGGGGGGATTTGTGTGTGAACGGGGGTTTGTGTGTGAACGGGGGGGTTTGTGTGTGAACCGGGGGGTTTGTGTGTGAACGGGGGGATTTGTGTGTGAACAGCGGGGTTTGTGTGTGAACAGGGGGATTTGTGTGTGAACAGCGGGGTTCGTGTGTGAACAGGGGGATTTGTGTGTGAACAGAAGGTTTGTGTGTGAACAGGGGGATTTGCGTGTGAACAGCAGGGTTTGTGTGTGAACGGGGGATTTGTGTGTGAACGGGGGGGTTTGTGTGTGAACAGGGGGATTTGTGTGTGAACAGCGGGGTTTGTGTGTGAACAGGGGGATTTGTGTGTGAACGGGGGATTTGTGTGTGAACGGGGATTTGTGTGTGAACGGGGATTTGTGTGTGAAAAGTGGGGTTTGTGTGTGAACGGGCGGTTTGTGTGTGAACGGGGGATTTGTGTGTGAACAGGGGGATTTGTGTGTGAATAGGTTTGTGTGTGAACAGGGGGATTTGTGTGAACAGTGGGGTTTGTGTGTGAACAGGGGAATTTGTGTGTGAACAGCGCAGTTTGTGTGTGAACAGGGGAATTTGTGTGTGAACAGGGGGATGTGTGTGTGAATGGGGGGATTTGTGTGTGAACGGGGGGTTTGTGTGTGAACAGCGGGGTTTGTGTGTTAACAGGGGGATGTGTGTGTGAATAGTGGGGTTTGCATGTGAACAGGGGGATGTGTGTGAACGGGGGATTTGTGTGTGAACGGGGGGGTTGTGTGTGAACAGCAGGGTTTGTGTGTGAATGGAGGGATTTGTGTGTGAACGGGGATTTGTGTGTGAACAGGGGGATTTGTGTGTGAACAGGGGGTTTGTGTGTAAACAGGGGGACTTGTGTGTGAACAGCGGGGTTTGTGCGTGAACAGGGGGATTTGTGTGTGAACAGCTGGGTTTGTGTGTGAACAAGGGGATCTGTGTGTGAACAGCAGGGTTTGTGTGTGAACAGGGGGGTTTGTGTGTGAACAGCGGGGTTTGTGTGTGAACAGCGGGGTTTGTGTGTGAACAGGGGGATTTGTGTGTGAACAGCGGGGTTTGTGTGTGAACAGCGGGATTTGTGTGTGAACAGCAGGGTTTGTGTGTGAACAGGGGGATTTGTGTGTGAACAGCGGGGTTTGTGTGTGAACAGCAGGATTTGTTTGTGAGCAGCAGGGTTTGTGTGTGAACAGGGGGATTTGTGTGTGAACAGGGGGATGCCATCTCAGTACAGTCAGTCACCTAAGGTGACAGCTGAGCAAACATCCAAAGAGAGAAAGGTGTTTATTTTCTTTTTGGAGATGGAGTCTCGCTCTGTCACCCAGGCTGGAGTGCAGTGGCACGATCTCCACTCACTGCAACCTCCTCTGCCTACCGGGTTCAAGCAATGCTCCTGTCTTAGCCTCCTGAATAGCTGGAACTACAGGTGCCCACCACCATGCCAGAGTAATTTTTTGTAACTTTTGTATTTTTAGTAGCAATAGGGTTTCATTGTGTTGGCCAGGCTGGTCTCAAACTCCTGACCTCAGTGATCTACCCACCTCGGCCTCCCAAAGTACTGGGAGTGAACCACCATGCCCAGCCAGAAAAGGCATTTAGACACATGGCAGAGAAACAGTCCAGGTAGAAGCTGCTTGGCACCTTCCAGAAGCAGCTAGGAGGCAGCACAGCTACTGCTGAGCAAGGCGACAGCAGGTGCGTGTGGTCCAGATCCTCAGAGCTCTGGGCAGGAAAATATGCAGTCTTCAGAGCATCCCTCCAACTGCCATGCTGAGAATGGATGGCACATAACGGCATGGGGAGGGTAGAATGAGGAGGGCCAGGAGGCAGGTGAAGGCACCACGGTAGTCATAAATTCAAGATGGGCTGGTGACTCGGGTCAAGAGCGGACAGGGAAGCTTGTGGGAAGACAAATTCGAGATGTATGTTGAAGGGCGTGCAGAAAAAAAACACATTAACATGTATGAGATCTGGGGTAGGAGAGAAAGGAACCAAGGGCCACTCTGACACTTTTGGCCTCAACAACTGCAAGGGAAGAAGCCAATTCCTACAACAGGGAAAGGTTTGTGGAAAAGGCTGCAGGAGACAGTGTTTTGGCAGGAAGGCCGTGGGCTGTTCTTTGGAACTGCCAAGTTTAAGTCACAGGGAGCCAGGTGGAGACGTCAGGGAGGCACCTGGACACACAAGCCCACACAGTGGCCAGCGACTCGGGCCTGAGAGAAACACCAAGCGCCGAAAAACCCACGGGAATGAGCGGCGAGCTGCGGGCAGACCAGGGAACATGAAGAGAGTATGTATTCTAGAACCGCTGCGGAGCATGCCCGGCCTATGTCCACTAAAAAGGTGAGTCGACAGTCTTCTCCACGTGTCCTATAGATCCTCACTGTTAAACAATCAACTAACAGGTATGTTTCAAAACTCCCATTATGATAGTGAGTTTATCTTCTCCACGTGTCCTATAGATCCTCACTGTTTTTTCCATCTGCTTATAAGCTATCAATAACTAACAGGTATGTTTCAAAACTCCCATTATGACAGTGAGTTTATGTGTTTCTCCTTACGGTTCTGCCCGTCTTTGTCTTCTGTATCTGGGGGCTATGTTAGCAGGAGCATACAAATTCAAAACTGTTTTCTCTTCCTGGTGTAGGGAGCAGTGTAAATACGTACGATCTCTTACGTCAAGCCAGGCTTTTGCTCTGGAGGCTCCAGTGGGAAGGCAGTAATCTCAATATGGTTACAACTATGTATCAGTTTTTGTTGGGTAATATCTTTTTTTTTTTTTTTTTTTTTTTTTGAGACGGAGTTTCGCTCTTGTTACCCAGGCTGGAGTGCAATGGCGCGATCTCAGCTCACCGCAACCTCCGCCTCCTGGGTTCAGGCAATTCTCCCGCCTCAGCCTCCTGAGTAGCTGGGACTACAGGCACGCGCCACCATGCCCAGCTAATTTTTTGTATTTTTAGTAGAGACGGGGTTTCACCATGTTGACCAGGATGGTCTCGATCTCTTGACCTCGTGGTCTACCCGCCTCAGCCTCCCAAAGTGCTGGGATTACAGGCTTCAGCCACCGCGCCCAGCTGGGTAATATCTTTTAAACTGCTCTTTTTAGGTATAACTGTCATATAATAAACTTTATATATTTCAAGTGTATAATTTGATAACTTTTAATATATGCATACACCTGGGAAAACGCCATCACAACCAAGGTAATAAACATGTCTATTGCTCCAAAGGTTTCTTTGTGCCCATTTCTAAATCCTCGCTTTGAGCCCTCCCAGTCCCAGACAATCACTGACCTCCTTGTGTCACTGCACATCAGCTTACATTTCCAATACTTTTAAATAAAGGGAGGCATATGATACACACATTGGGTTTTGGTCTAGCCTCTCCACGCAGGGTGATTATCTTAGGTTCATCCATGACACTGCACGTACCAATACTTCATTTCTATAAATGCTGGGCAGCATCCCATGCGAGGATATACCACACTTCATCTATCCATTCAGCTGCTGACGGACTGAACTGTTTCTAGTTTGGGGCTACTACACCGAGAAATGCCATGAACATGTGTGTACCCATCTTTGAATGGACATATGCTTTCATTTTGCTTGGATAAATACTTAGGAGAACAGCTGGATCACGTGGTAGGAGTATGTTTACCTTTTGAAAAAACTGCCACCAGCTTTGATATAAACCTTTTATGAAATACATGCTTTGCACATGTTCTCTCTCCGTGCCTTCTCTTTTCATCCTCTTAACGGTGACTTTTGAAGACCGTGGCTTTTAAATTTTGATGAGGTTCAGCCTAGTGCTTTGTCCTTTGACGGATCATGCTGCTGGTGTCTTATCTAAAAATGTCACTGCCTAACTCAAGGACACAAAGGTTTTCTTCTAGAAGGTTTGTAAGTTTAAGTTTTACTTTAGCTCTATAATCCATTTTAATTTTTGTAAATGGTAGAGAACACGGAAGTTCATTT